CCTCGCTCGGTGCTTCCATAGCAGTTCGGTGCAACATTTTAGGGCAGCTCGGGCACCCTTTAGGAGGACAGGGCAACACGGGCTGATCATTGTGTTGAGCGTAGGTCGTGGGGAGTGCGGTATTCAGCTGCGGTGGTGGACTACTGCTACCTAGCCCGCCAGGGGCGCGAATGACCTTGCCGCAAGCAGGCCGGCCATAGCTGAGTCAGCACGGCGGCCATAGCTGAGCGAGTGTGAGACGTTGTAATTGGTGCCTTTGTTCTTCGCCGGTGGAGTGTGTTGCACCGGCTGCATCACCTTTTCTCTAGGCTTGGTTCGCTGCGCCATCTCTATCATCACGAAAAAAAATCGTCTCATCGATCGCCATTGCAGAAGGCTTCCACCGCGCATTTACCGCATATTTGCCCCAGATCCGCTAGTACCCGAGATCGTTGTGAAGTGCGCTCCGCACCTCCGACCGAGGGGTCTTGTGCGCTCAACATCCGTCTTCCGAAGGGCCTCTACATCTTTTGGAGGGGAGGAGAGATTCTGGAACGGAGGGGTGGGGTCAATTCAATTTGGTGAAGTGATGGTGGGAGGACTGCAATTATTGTTAAATTGCAGGATAAGGGAGGGAGGGCGACATTGGGAAGAAGAATCTCCGCGTTAGTACAGGCTCCGCAGGAGGTACGGGCGAGTGTGAGCTTCTTGTGGTCGTTGTCGGCAGTCCCGAGGGGGCAGGCAGGGCAAACACACACTGTCTTGTGATACGAAGAGACGGACTCCTCGACGGTGAGCCCCCCCATACTTCATTCATCGTCGTAAGTAACGCTTCGAAGGCGATGGGGATGGTGGGGAGAGTCTCCTTTGGAGCGAACATTGGTGTGACAGTCTGTTTGGCGCTGCTTGTCGTCCATCTGGGCGGAGCGAGTGGTTTTACGATCGGCAATATCTGTAATCCGCTTTTGTCGGCCAGAGGACCATGGATTAATGGTCAGGCAACCTTCTACGATGACCATGGGCGGGGCGGAGCGTGCGGCTATGGAAGTTTGGGAAGCCAGCTCTTCGGAGGGCGATATGCGGCCGGCTCGCCTAGAGTGTACTTAGGCGGATTGGCCTGCGGAATGTGCTTTGAGGTTAAGTGCGTGAGGAGCACAGCGTGTAAGGCCGGTTCTGTTCGGGTCACGATCACGGACTTGTGCCCGCCGCGGGCACCTAACTCGCGATGGTGCGGTGGAGGTAAGCTGCACTTGGATATGGGAAGACAAGCCTTCCCCGTGATTGCCAATCCGAGAGCAGGAGCGGTGCCGATCCAATTCCGCAGCATCCCGTGCGCGCCGTACAAGGTGCTTAAACTGCATTTGAGGGGAAGCAGGTTCTGGCTCGAGGTGACCGCCCTGGCCATTCCCGGAAGTGGGAGGATCTTGAAGATGGAGGTGGCGGCGGCCGGTGGCAAGTGGGTGGCCATGAAGCGCGCCTTCGGAGCAGCATGGGCAGTCACTGGGCAGCCAATGCGTACACCTATCTCCGTGAAAATTTCCATTTTCGGTAAGCTCTGCAAGCTGATCGCTAGGAACTGTATCAAGGGACAGTCCTTCAACGGACAGAATCTTAACTGCGGCTACTCGGTG